GATTTTTTTATATAAACAAAAAGATGTTTTTTTTTCCCCCATGCATTTTCTATAAAATGCAATATGTAGTTATAGCACACAAAAAAATAAAATACAATAAATAAATAGATAAATAAGAAAAAATTGTAGGGAGTCCATCCGCCTTGTAAATGTGCCAATGGGAAAAAACGCGGTTAAGCGCTGGCGATCAGTGGAAGTCTCAGTTCGCAAATTAGAGGACAGTCTGAAGCAGATCTCTCAATAGCCTGGTGACAAGAAAAAGAGGGGGGAAACTGGAAGCATATTCGCTCCATATGCATTGAGAGTCAAAGTAAAGGCACAGGGTCCCAAGAGGTGACCAGGTGATAGGGTACTTATCACTGGGGATGGCAAAGGAGAGTCCCTGCGGCGTCTTCTTTGAGGAAGGACTTCCGTCCACTGCTCACGACCAGGAAGGACTGTGAAGTCAGGAGCTGGAGGATCCGGCCATGGTTCTAGTTCCACCAAAGGTATCCCAAGGGATTTGATGAAGCTGTCAAGGTCAGATGGGCAGCTTAATATGACAGGTTTGCCGTTTTTCTTGACCAGTAAATGAAAGGGATACCACCATCGGTAAAGAATATTGCGTTCCCTTAGGAGTTTCATTAGTGGACGAAGAGCTCTTCTTCTGGCCATGGTGCGTTGAGAGAGGTCAGGATATAAGGTGATCTCTGCACCGTCAAAGTCCAGGGATCTCTTGGTTCTCGCCTTCTCCATGATTGCCTCTTTTTGTTTGAAAAAGTGGATCCTGCAGAGGACGTCTCAAGGCTGAGTCATGGAAGGATTGCGGTAGCCTGGGACCCGGTGTTCTCGGTCGATTTCCAGGGTGTCAGTCACTGTGCGATCAAGAAAAGTATTAAGAATACCTCTCACTGAATGTTCCAAATCTGAGGAGCCGGTCGCTTCAGGGATGCCGCGAATTCTGATGTTGTTTCGCCGGCTCTTGTCTTCCAGGTCATCAACATGAAAATATATATTTTGGAGTTGCTGATGATGGTGAGCTGTAAGGGACTGGAGTTCTTCTACTGCTGAGCGGTGAGTGGCAATCGAGTCATCGATTGCATCAACTCTGCGGTGGAAGCTTTGAATGGCTTCATGTAGACATGTCACGCTGGTGAAGTGCCTCAAAGAGTGAGAAGAGAGCCTCCATATCCTGTTTCAGGGGCGTAAATAA